AGGAGGGAGGGAGGGAGGAAGACAGAGAGGAAGGAAAGGAGGGAAGGAGGGAGGGAGGAAGACAGAGAGGGAGGGAAGAGGGAGAGGGAGGGAGTGCGGCACTCTAATGAACACTTCAAACTGTACTGAGCCTCATAGTCTATGCAAGCCAGAGGCTGGCCTGGTCCCTAACTCCCAGGTTGGGGGCAGCTGTGCTATGGCCCCTAAGTGCCTAGAACATTCCTGAAGAGCCACCACCCGCCTGCGGTGCAGAAAGTGGCCTAGGCATTCCACCACGGTGAAGCCAGTCACAGCCACAGGTGATGTCACCTGGAGGTGATGTCACCAGGAGTGGAGCTTTTGCAGCATTTACTAGAGGGAAGCACGAAACTATCTACACTTCCAGTGAAAAGTGACCGAAAATCTGTCACAATTCTACCCTGGAAATTGCCCAGTTTGGCTCATTTGTTCGATTGTTCGATTGAATAGGGCTCTCTATGTAGCTTGGCTGCTCTGCTCGCTAACGCAATCCTCCTGCCTCAGTCTCTGCCTCCGGGTCCTAGGGACTACAGGCACTTGAAACCACACCCAGTTATGATTTTCTTACATTTTTTAATTTTTCAGCTATTTTAGTCTATGTGTGCGGGTGTTTTGAGTACATGTATGTCTGTGCTCCTCGTGTGTGCGAGACACTGAAGGAGGCCAGAAGAGGGTGTCAGATCCTCTGGAGCTTGAGTTGCAGACCCCAGTTGGAAGCCCCTATGTGTGATCGTTGGGACTAGAACCTGGGTCTTCTGGAAGAGCAGCCAGAGCTTGCAACTGCGAAGCCCCCTCTCCACCTCCTTATTCATGTAGTTATGAGGGTGCACAGGTGTGAACATCAGAGGACAACTTCTGGGAGTCTGTTCTCCTCTTCCGCCATGCGGTTCTGGGGAACCCAGAACTCAGGGCAGCGGGAACCGTTACCCACTGAGCCATCCCGCTGGCCCTGCTTTTTTCAATGAAAAACAAAACAAAACATACTAAAACTATTTTCAAAGCTTAAAGTCATTCTTTGTTTCCAAGGCTATGCATCCCTAGAAGCGCTCACACACACACACAACACACACACATACACACCACACACACACACACACACAACACACGCACGCACGCACACACGCATGCACACACGCAGTGGCTTCCTTTAAGAAAACACTCTCAGACCTTGGAGCTGGGGGGCAGGTCCGAAACCCCTCCATGTCCAGTTTGTTCTCTGCTGAAGGGTACTCCATTTGCTGATTCAGCAGACGCAGCCAGCCCTCAGCTGTGATGCCTGCTCAGACGAAGCTCTCCAAGCCCATACAAGGAAATTCAAGGCCTCCCAGTCCTTGGCAGCTACAGACAGCAACAGCCGCAGGCAGCAGGATTGGCTACATCCAGCCAATGCTCCACCCCACTTCCAGTAGAATTGCTGCCGGGCTCACCACACACATACACACACACACACACACACACACACACACACACACACACCTGTCTCTAAATGTCACACTGTCCTCCAACCCTCACGCAGCCAGCCATTCACCCCAGAAACTTCTTTGTTCCAAGCATGTCCCTGGCAGAGCATCTAGCCTTCCTTCCTGTACTGCTGCCTCCTCACAGTCTTTCAGTGCCCCCCCCCCCTTGAGACTGGCTGACAGCCAGGCACTGTGCCTAAGCACCCCCACAACATTTTGAGACAGTATCTTGAACGTGGGCTTGAACTTTCAATCCTCCTGCCTCAGCCACCAAAGGCTCAGACTACAGGTGTGAGCCACCATTTCCAGCTTCATGTGTCCTGTTCTGCACCCCCAAACTGTCCCTACTAGGCAGCTGGTGCCTCAGTATGAATCCCAGACCCCCTCCCACTGTAGGCCTTCTATATCCCTAAGCTTTTCTCCATATGGAGTCTGGGGGAGCTTTAGGGAGGATGGTTTAGGTAGCCTCGAAGGAGGTCTTTTGCTTTGGGAAAAAAAAAAAAGTGAGGGGCCAGTGAGCTGGCTCAAGAGGTAAAGGCATCAGTCCTAATGACCCCATGGTAGAAGAGAACGAGGACTCCAGCCAGCTGTCCCCTGACTTCCACAGGCTTGCTGTGGCACATCCACATACATGCACACACATAGTAGATAGATAGATAGATAGATAGATAGATAGATAGATAGATAGATAGATAGATAGATAAAAACTTTAAAAAAATTTAAAAGTGAGATAGCTACCAGGATGCCTGGACAAGGGCACATGCTCTCAGACCCAAGCGGAGGGAGGCTTCTTTACCTTCTGAGGTCATATCCTTTCCAAAATTCTTTCCATGTTGTAAACTTGAACACAAAATCATTGGAATAAATGTTTGTGCCATGTAATGCATGGTAGAAACACAGGCTGCCTGAAGGGAAGGGCACTGAGACCATGCATCTGAACTTGGGGTCCAGCTTCCTTCTCAATCCTGCTCTTGTCTACTCTGCCATTTATGCCCACTGTGCACCAGAATGGAGTGGGGATGGCAAAGCTTCTATGATGTTAAGCAAACAAAAAGCTGGTAAATTCTTTAAAAACCAGCTAAATGACTCTAGAGCATCCCTGGTCCTCTCTGGAGCATCCCTGGCCCTCTCTGGAGCATCCCTGGCCCTCTCTGGAGTATCTCTGGTCCTCTCTGGAGTATCTATCCCTGGTTCTCTCTGTAGTATCTCTGGTCCTCTCTAGAGTGCCTCTAGTCCTTTCTAGAGCATCCCTGGTTCCTTCAAAACTAGTTCTGTAAGGAGCAAGAGGAATGGGCTGTGGAGCTTTGTATGTATGTTCAAGTTTGGTAATAACTACACAGTTCTTTTTCATGTCAATTGCATTACAAGTTTTCCATTTCCTGGCAGCTGGAGTGCCATTTCCGATCAGAAAGTTCCCTTTACACCTGTGGTAAACTTCATTCTGAGAGGTTGGGCTTGAATTTTCGTACCCAATTTTTAAGAAGATGAGCATCATTTTAAAACTGTGGGTAAAATGAAGTACAGAGGTCTGGTGAGATGGCTCAGTGTGTAAAGGTGTTTGTCAAGGTGTTTGTCACCAAGCCTGTCAACCTAAGTTTCAACTCCGGGACCCACAGGGTAGAAGGAGAGAGCCAACTTCTGCAAGCTGTCCTCTGACCTCCGAATACACGCATGGCATTTGCACGTGCACAAACAAACTCAAATAAATATTTAAACATTAGAAATAAAAGAAATCACAGAGAAAAACATGAAAAGAAAGAGATGAAGGAAAGAGAGAAAGAATGGGAGGAAGGAAGGGCCGAGCCTCGAAGGTTGGTGGGCCACATACGGACTCAGTGCCCAGAGACCACGTGACGTTAGTGGCCAGGAAGGGGCAGCAAGTTCAGGCTTCAGGAGCCCCATTCTGCACTGTTTTGGAGACAAACAGTAATGGCATAATCATCTGACAGGTGGCTCTGGAAGCCCTGATGTTACCTGGGTCTCATCACCCCAACTAGAAGATAAATGGGTGGGCTGGAGCATATCTAAGCTCGCCCAGGGCAATGCTGCTCTAGAAGACCAAGACCAAACTCGAGAGTGGGGGAGAGAGCTGGGGAGATAGAGGTTGACCTACACCCCAGCAGAGCTCACCTCCCCACGACACCCAATCTCACTATCATTTCGGGTCCCCCAGGAGTCTTTTCCTAGAGCCTTGCTTCCTAGGCTTAGACCTGAGAAGCCCCAGAAAGCAGAGGAGCAAAGCTTCTGATGTCGCAGACGAAGACTGGAGGCTGGGGTGTCAAGCCCCTGGAAGATTCTGTGACTGACAAACGCGTGCACCCATGAGAGGCTCGTCTCCTCAAACACACTACAATCAGTGCTGCACGGAACCTGTCTTCGCAGCGGGGGCCTTTAAAGCTAGCCTGGATAGACATGTGGACAGATGGAAGCAACCAGCTCTAAAGAGAACAACAAAATGCAACTCTCGGGAGTAAGGCAGGCATACAGAGGAGCTCAGACCCCTGCTTATCTCCTTCTTCAGTGAAAATGCGATTTTTTTTTTTCATTAAAAAATGTTGAGAGAAGTAGTTATGGTTGAGGACGTGAAAGACATCTCCCCACTGTGTGCAAAGGACTTTCCATAATGAAGCCTCCCAGAAAGCATTTTCAATGCTGAGCTGAAAGGTAGGGGCTCCTGACTGCAGGGAGAATCAGCAGGTGTCAAGGAGACCTGCTTTGCTGGGACATTTCGCTCTGCTGAGATAGGCAGGCAAAAGGGAAAGGGCAACAGGCTGAGTTACTCCTAGCATGGTCCACAAAGGGCTGCATTTCCTCCATGAAAGAGTGGCTTTTGGGATGCCCTGGCCTACACAGAGAAACCCTGTCTCAAAGAGAGAGAGAGAGAGAGAGAGAGAGAGAGAGAGAGAGATAAAGGAAAAAAGAAAACCCTAAAATCTTACAGAAAGTAAGTCAGTCAGCCACGTGCTTGCCTAGTGTTCATAGAGCCCCAGGTTCAATCCCCAGCACCGGATAAAGAAGATAATGTTGGTGCAGCTCTATGTTCCCAACATTCTAGAAGCTGAGGCAGGAGGATGAGGAGTTCAGGGTCATCCTCCACTACATAGCAAACTGGAGACCAGCCTGGGCTACAGGGGACCCCACCTCAAAAAGGGAAAGGAAAGGAGGAGAAAGAAGGAAGGGTGAGGGAAGAAAGAAGAGGAGGAAGGAAGGAAAAATAAAATCCAGAACCAAAAACCGCACAGGCTCCTGACGCCTGCTGCCAACATCTCCCATTTCACAGATGGAGAGGGTGAGGCTCAGAAGGGTGAAGTCGCCCGCTAGAAACTCTCATCCTCAGGGCCAACCTGGAGGAGGCAGGAGAGGGCGTGGCCAGGCAGCGGGGAAAGTGCCAGAAGTTGCTAGGGCTCTACCACTGATCGCTGCAGGGCCAGGTGCACCAGAGCCAGGGCGCGCGGGAGGGGGAGGGGGAGCCCTCGAGGACCGCGGGGGAGCGGAGCCTTCGAGGACCGCGCGGGGCGCTACCTGGGTCGTGGAAAGGCACCAGCGCATAGTTGGCGATGACCCGGCTGCGGCTGCTCAGGCTGCGCTCCAGAATGCGCGAGGCGCCGTCGATCACCTGCATTAGATCATCCCACATGGAGCCGGTGACATCGAAGACGAAGGCCAGGGTGGCACCTCCCGTGGCGGGGGACAGCGTCCTCGTGGGCGCCTCAGACGTGACCACTGTCACTAGCGTGGAGGTCGCCACCAGCAGCCGCAGCAGCGGCGCCCCAGGCGTCATGCTGAGCCAGAGGCTGCAGCAGCGACGGGGACGCGCAGGTCTCAGTGAGAGGTGGCGGAGCAGCCTCACTCCCGCGGGTTCACCGGGCAGGGGCGCGGCGGGATCCCCCTGGTGGGAGCCTGAGGCGGTCCCTAACGCCCACCCCGCCTCCTACACCCCCCTCCACAGCGCCCCGCGGCGTGACTCAAACTTTCCCAGCCCCGCGGCTCCCTGGTCCAGCCCCGAGGTTAGTGGAGGACGCAGGGCAGACGGCAGGAGGGAGGTGGGGCCGCAGCCAAGGGCGAGGGATGAGGGTTCGGAAATCCGCGGACACCTGCTAGCCCTTTTGCGGGGGCGGAGAGGCCACACGAGCAGTCCAAGCCTGGCTCAGACAGGCCTTGCTACCTCCCTCCACCGGCGTCCCAGGGACCCAGGGGCTCCGAGCCTCCCCGGTATTGTAATTATTCTTGTTAAAAATCAGCAAGCCCAAGCCTGGCGTCCATCAGGGGCATAGCATCCCCACGGATATTTTCTGGAAGTTTGCTGCCATCCTAGTCAGGGGGAGAGACACTAAGACCAAACTCGCTTGGTACACGCCGCCGGAGGCTCAGAGAGAAATGAACCCGTTTACTACACTAAAGTGGTGTAGACAGAATCGGAAGCCAGATATGGAAGGACCCCAGATTCCTCGGGCTCTGCTGTCTCCCCTGAGTATTGTAAGACATTGTTGCAGGTCGTATGAGGACTCCAGGGGATCAGGCACACAGTCCTCCTGTCACCTGTCTAAGCAGACTCGTGGGTTGCGAGTGAAGGGGCTTGGGACAGGAAGTGGCTACCTGGATTAGGTTCAGCCATCCTCTACCTCACAGTGCTCTTCTGCCAGCTGGGAGGGTCATGGTGCTGCCTCCATGATTGGGCTAAGTGGGCATGTCCTCCCTGAGTAGGGAGTGCTCTCTCTGCCGTTGGGCTGTTGGGGTATGCCTCCATCCATCCCTCGGCTGGGCGGAATGCTCCCTCCGCAATCAGAGGCGGCTCCCTCCGCCCTGTTGTAGCCCTTCACTCTCCCAGGCTGTACAGTCCCCGTGATTTCTGTCCTTACAGCCCGGGAGCTCCTGGGAGTGGAGACTGCGCCTTGGTATCCCCACCACCCACCCCAGCCTCATCCTACTCTAGTGCCTGGCACTGGGTGGGGACTCGTTAGATGCTGCTTGACTGGAAGGGGCAGCTTTGGCAAGCATCCTCTGAACACAGCACCCTGGGTGAGGTCAGACAGACCCTGGACACAGCCGGGAACCCTGGGCTGTAGAGGGGTCACTCTCCTGACCCTTCCTCAGCCAGGAGGAAAGCTACTCTACCCCACCTCTTCTCCTCTGGGCCAACCTGAGCTCCTCTGAGGCTGCTGAGTCCAGTTTGTCCTGAACCCACAGCCCCTGTGTCCTCGTCCTAGTTCTGGCTAAGCCGTATTATCACTGGGCCGTGCCCGGATGTGTGTGCCCTTCCACTGCCACTGAGCTCTGTGACAGAGGAGACCAGAGCCTCACACATGACAGGAACCCAACAAAGGCTCTGCCACCTGCAAGGGGAAGTGGGTACCAGAGATGTTGGGTTACTGAGCCCTGGCCATGGGCAGAGAACAGACAGGACACAACTCAGAGACTAGGGTCTGCATGAGGGCCGGAGACCTAGGGCAATGGTCTCTTAAAGAGCAGGCCATCTCTTGGGATATGGCAGAAGCCGGATTCCAAGGCCTGAGAGTGGAGTTTGCAGCTAAGCTCAGGGGGAAGTTGAGTCTCCTGCACTGGCAAGATCTGGCTTTTTAAATTTCCTTGAGTGAAGGTCGAAATTGCCCGAAGAACCTAGGCGGGGCTGGGTCAGCTGTTGGAGTAAGAAGGAGGCCCCAGCTGGGGGAAGGCAGTAGCAACCAGGATCCAGGAACCAAACGGTGACATTGCTGACCCAGGACCGAGGAATCTGTCCTAAGCCATTTGTCAGGTATTCCAGGAGATGCTGTTAGGACAGGAGATAGGAAAACGAAGAAGGACAGTCCCCACCCTGGGGAGGAGAAATATGTAAACAAATAATTCTAAGTCAATGAGATAAGCGTTAACAGAAGAATTACCCAGAGCTCTGGGAGCTCAGAGGAAGGAGGGGCTGAGCCTAAGAGGTCAGAGGAGGCCGTGGAGCAAGTCTGGGAAGCCAGCAAGAATGAGAGAAAGGGCAGTGAGGAGCTGGAGCAGCATGCTCAAGGGCAAGGGGAGTGGAGAGGCCACAGGGGGTCACCCAGTGGAACTGAGGGAGATGATGGCAGAGGAGGAGACAGAGGCTACAACCTGGAGGGCCTGACGTATTTCACCAACCCTTCTGAGGTTTACCTAAAGGCACTGGGAGAATATTAACCAGGGAAGCACTCTAGCCTGGCTCACAGTGACAGACAGCTCTGCTCAGGGTACAGACGTTGTAGAGACCAGGAAGCCACAAATCTCTCCCAGGAGGTCATGGCAGGGATAGACTCAAAGACAGCGGGAAGCCTGTCCTTATGCTGGTACAAGGGATGGAGAGGACCGCAGACTTGAGTCTTGGTGGCTTTGTGGTGGGGGCTGAATCTCAATATGTAGCCCAGGCTGGCCTTGAACCCAGGGATTCTCCTCCCTCGGCCTCACAAGTGCCTGTGTTACAGTCACTGTGCGCAGATTTAGAGTTGAGTTCTGAAACTGCCTGGTGACCTTCAGTGACGTACCACTCCGTTTAGGATGGGGGGGGTGTTCCTTAAGAGATGGCTCAGTGGTTAAGAGCACAGCTGCTCTTGCGGAGGACCTGGGTTTGAGGCCCAGCACCTACATGGTTTATCACAGTCATGCCCCACTGACTCCAGTTCCATGGGATCCACTACCTTCTTTTTATCTCCATGGCCATCAAGCATGCACACGGCACACACACATACACGCAAGCAAAACACTCACAAATGAAACATAGTGAATAAGTCTAAAGAGAAAATCCTAAGGAGATAAACGGGGGAAAATCTGCAATCCCTGCAGAGGTTTCTTCTCATCCCACCACTCCGAGAGACCACCAGCTTCCCTCAGAGACACGGGGCGGAAAGAAAAGTTCAGAGTCTCAGCCTGGCCTCCCTCAGTCCCCGTGGAAGAGCATTTACCACCCGTCTGCCATTATTCCATTTGGCCTGATCCCTTTGCCCACCCAAAGCGGCCCTGTGGCTGCCTCAGGCACAGGCATCCCAGGGGCTCGGGACTTCCTGAGGGTGTGACCACTGCAGGGAAGGAAAGTGGGGAGACCTGTGGCCTGCAGGTGCGGCACAGCAGCCAGCCTCATTTCTGCACCTCCGCTTCCCCAGGCCCCTGGGAGACCTCATTTTTTTTTTTTAAACTCAAGAGAATCTCCATTTTCCCAATGTTTCCAGAAGGCGCCGTCTTCCTGCTGTTTCCTAACACACCACGCACTCGCTGTGGAGAGCCCTGTGCCCAGCAGCTTGCAGGATGCACACGCCATTGTTCCTGGCTCATAACCATCCCTGTCCTGTGCTGGCAGCCAAGGGGCTGCCTCAGTACCTAGGTTACTGGGCTCTTGGCAGTCAAAGAGCCTCATTGCCCTTCTAAAACCTGATCCTTAAACCCACCCTGGTCTGAACCGTGTCAGATACTGAATCTAGCTTGCCCTGCTCACCCTGCCCCTCCCAGACCCCCTCCCGAGGGTGCCTGCTCTGTGCCCTCAAAGACTGGCAGCATTCATGGGGACAGCATGTGCCAATCCTCGCTGAGTAACAAACCCTAGGCCAAGCAGCTGCTCCCCTCCAGATAGGGAAACTGAGACTCCAAAAGGAAAAGTTTTGGAGTCAGAAAGGACCTGGCATGTGCCTCTGCCTTCGTGGGAAACCAGGAATCCCCCCATTGCTTCCGGCTCTCCTGGAAATTCAGGGCAAGGATTCCAACAGGAGCCCAGTAGGCAGAGTTTCTGGAACAGAGCCAGAGCCCCAGGTTTTGGTCAGGCACCACGCTGTCAGGATGCTCCGCCAGGGGTGGGGGAAACACTTCTGACATTTCTGCATCTTTTCAGTCCCTTCCTGTTCACATTCACTCCCGTGAATTCGTCCAACCCCCCCCCCCCCCCCCCCCCCCCCCCCCCCCCCCCGCTCCCGAGACCCAGCTCAGGAGAAGGCAGAGGAGCTGGTGACTAGATCAGACAGAGCTCCTGAGGACAAGAGAGGCGGCCAGAGTCGCAGCCTTACAACCATGGCCCCACAGCCAGCGCTGGATGATTTACTGCCGAGCCCAGAACCGCTCTGGGACCCAGCCTCCAAGTCACATGTAGTGCAGGAATGATTTGAAGCCATCCCAAGAAATATTTGAGCCACTTGACACAGCAACCGTTGCCCGTCCCCATGTTTTTAAGAACAAACAAATGAAAACTGGGCCAGAGACGGCGCTTCAGGGCTCGCTCCCACCACCCCGCCTGGCCCAGCTGCCCCGGGGTCTCCAGGACAGACAGCCTGCATCTGCGCCTGCGCTGCTCACTCTCTAACCGACGTCGCCGTCGCCGGGAGAAGAGCACGTCTCCTCTCAGAGGCTGTGTCCTGACTGAGTCTCACTGGCATCCAAGGCCACTCTGTCACCGTCACTGCTGTCATTGGAGGCTGGCACCAACATCCACAATGAGCTGGGTTAACCTGTATTCTATGCTTCTTAAGAGGTTTCCTACTGTCCTGCAAAGGTACAAAAATATCGTTAAATCTGAGTCTGAGGTGTCCCCTCTGTCCCTGGCAAAGCATCCTGACAAGGTGGGTCTCTCTCTCTCTGACACACACACACACATACACACACACGCACACACACACACACACACACACACACAGCTTAAAAACCGGAAAGGCCAAGAAGATGGCTCGGCTTCATAGCCGAGAACCTGAGATTGAGTCCCAACTCACGTAATGAAAGCTCAGCTTGGCAATGCACACTTGCCGTCTGTGGGGTGGGCAGAAACAGAAGGCTGTGTGCAGTGGCAGTGGC